TATATATATATATATATATATATATATATATATATATATATATATATATATATATATATATATATATATATATATATATATATATATATATATATATATATATATATATATATATATATATATATATATATATATATATATATATATATATATATATATATATATATATATATATATATATATATATATATATATATATATATATATATATATATATATATATATATATATATATATATATATATATATATATATATATATATATATATATATATATATATATATATATATATATATATATATATATATATATATATATATATATATATATATATATATATATATATATATATATATATATATATATATATATATATATATATATATATATATATATATATATATATATATATATATATATATATATATATATATATATATATATATATATATATATATATATATATATATATATATATATATATATATATATATATATATATATATATATATATATATATATATATATATATATATATATATATATATATATATATATATATATATATATATATATATATATATATATATATATATATATATATATATATATATATATATATATATATATATATATATATATATATATATATATATATATATATATATATATATATAATTTTTTCTCTCTTCTTCAAATATTTCCCAAATGACTTGCCAAATTACCCTAACTTAAACCTAATTAACTGAGTTAAGCCAGTAATGTGCCTGGAAAAAATGCAAAGAATACGCCTGTGATGGGCAAAGTGAACTGGAAGTTACCGGCTTTATGTCACACTCACCTGAAAAGACTGAAGAAACGAGTTGAAATATATGAACACAATTTGAGAGATGTCGTCCTCGCCTGGGTTCACGAAGAACAGCATGTATGTGATTCCCAGTAAAGGCAGAAGCACAAGAGTGGCTTTCACAGCCTTTCTGCAAACACACAAACACAAGAAAACACACACAAAAATACAGAATATATGAAACCACTTTTGAAGAGAGCCCTAAACTAATCCTAAAATGTTCATAATTTTTTTATTTTTAATTATTATTGTTTTATTTGCATTACAATTGATAATTTATATATTATTAATCACCACTATTACATTTGTTTTTTTATTTTCTTTTATTTTCCAATTAAAAATGTTAACATTACAGTTATTGTTATTTTTGAATTGAATTGAACTGAGTGTCAGTATTTCTTTTAATATAACATGATTATTTCTTTATTTCTCTTTTTTATTTATTTATTTGTTTTTGATTTATTTATCTATTTGTATTTATTTTTATCTATCTATTTATTTATCTATTTTTATTTACCTATTTATTTATTTATTCATTAATTTCTTTATTTACCTATTTATTTATTTACCTATTTTTTTATTTTTTCATTTATTTATTAATTTATTTATGTACCTATTTATTTATTTATTTACCTATTTATTTATTTATTCTTTCATTTATTTATGTACCTATTTATTTATTTATTCATTCATTTATTAATTTATTTACCTATTTATTTATTTACCTATTTATTTATTTATTCATTCATTTATTAATGTACCTATTTATTTATTTATTCATTTATTTATTTACCTATTTTTTTATTCATTCATTTATTTATGTACCTATTTATTTATTTAGTCATTTATTTATTTACCTATTTATTTATTTGTTTATTTATTTTTTCATTCATTTATGTATTTACCAATTCATTTATTATTTATGCATTTATTTATTCATTCATTTCTTTATTTACCTATTCATTTATTTATTTATTCATTTCTTTATTTACCTATTCATTTATTTATTTATTCATTTATTTATTTATTTAAAAAGGTGTCTTATCAAACCAAATTATACAACATTTACAAATACAAGACAATTAGTTTTAATAAACATTTTTTATAATTAATTTTGAAAAAAAGGGACAATGGTAGCACGGGGACTCAGTGGGTTGCATTGTCGCCTCACAGCAAGAAGGCCACCGGTTTGAGCCTCGGCTGGGCCAGTTGGCATTTCTGTGTGGAGTTTGCATGTTCTCTCCGTGTAGACGTTGGTTTCCTCCGGGTTCTCCATTTTCCCCCACAGTCCAAACACATGCGCTATAGGGGAATTAAATAAACTAAATTGGCCGTAGTGTGACTGTGTGTGTGTGTGAATGTGAGAGTGTGTGGGTGCTTTGCAGGATGGAAGGGCATCCTCTGCATAAAACATATGTTGGAATAGTTGGCAGTTCATTCCTCTGTGCCGACCGCTGATAAATAATGGACTAAGCAGAAGGAAAATGAATAAATGAATAATAATTACATTGTAATTTATGCAAGGAACATTAAGGACCATGCATGCTGGATTGAAAGTATTGCTTCATGTTCAAAATCCCACCCACATTTTCCAGAAAGGAAGAATTATAATTATACATAAGCCTGTCCTCCAGACTCGGAATCAGTCCATTAATACACACGGAATCAAGTGAAACGCCACAACAAAGTCTGCAAATGCATTTTCAGCAAACCTCAGATGAAAGCGCTCATTTCTCCCGCTCTGACTGAAGTAAGAATCG